ATGTTCCATATCACTAATTGATTCTCAGATTCATCTAATCTACTTATTGTTTCCCTGTACATTGTTCTTTATCTCAATTAGTGTATCCTTTGTTTCTGACTGGATCTTTTTTATGCTGTTGAGGTCCTCACTAAGTTCCTTGAGCATCCTTATAGTGAGTGTTTTGAACTCTGCTTCTGATAGATTGCCTATGTCCATTTTGTTTAGGCTTTTTGCTGTTTTGATCTGTTCTTTCACTTGGGCCATGTTTCTTCATCTCCTCATTTTGGCAGCCTCCCTGTGTTTGTTTCTATGTGTTAGGTAGATCTGCTTTGACTTTGTGTATTGGTAGTGTGGCCTAACATAGTATATGTCCTATAGGATCCAGTGGCACAGCCCCCCCAATCACCCAAGCTGGGTACTCAAGGTGTGTCCTTCGTGTAGGCTGAGTACACCCTCCTCTGGCAGTTGACCCTTGGTTGCTGTTAACAGGTTAATGGGAGGAATTCACTCAGGCCAGTCAGCTGCAAGGACAAGTTGTGACCATTGACCAGCATCCTCTGCCCTTCAAGGATGACCAGCTGTGCAGGGACAGGGAGGGTGGTGTTCTGACATGGTCTATAGCTGTCCACTGAGTGCACAGGCCCTGGGGTTTCCTGGGTGGTACAGAACAAAATCAGCCCCTACCTGTGTTCTGCCTGGGGCCACCCTGCATGAGGTATAAAGCAATCTGACATGGCTGTTACTTGTGCTGGAGTTAGAGATTCCCAGGCAAAGCCAAGCTGTGAATTTAAGCTGGCTGCTGCTAATTCTGGGTCTGGGGTCAATTAGTAAGCCGTACAGGGGCTGGGGGCTTGCTGAGGCCAGCTGTTGCTTATTTTAAAGATTTAGGAAGTTGTGAAGCATGAGCCAAGACCAGCCATTCATATGGCAAAGTCATGCTTAACAGCTTGGCTGGGCCCATAAGTTGGGTGGGATAGAGTCTAAGGGGATCTCCAGGGCAGGGCAAACAGTGTTAGCCAGGTTGATGGAGTCTCAGATATGACACCTGCCTGCTGGCTCTGTGGTTCTGTGTGGGGAGGGTTCAGAAAAGAGACAATGGCCTCTGCCTGCCTTTCTCTCTGGGAAAAAGCTGTCCTCCAGCTCTCACCTTGATGCCAGACACTTCCCCTATGTTCAGTTCCTCCCTGTATGCTACTGGTGCCTTTGAAGCTGCTATCCCAGTGCTGGAGCTTAGAGAGAGTGAGCCTGAGTAGGTGAGTCCCATGTGTGGTTTCTTTAAGAGAAACTGCTTGGGACTCCAGAAATTTCTTCCATCAACTCAATCCCCACTGGTTTTTGCAGCCAGAACGTGTAGGGACTTATCTTCCTGGCACTGGAACCCTGAGCTGGGGGGCCCTGGTGTGGGGCTGTGACTCTTCAGTCCTGAGATATCTCTCTCAAATTTGTGTCTACCACACGTGGATGTGGGACCAGCCCATTCAATGTCTTTGCCCCTTCTACCAATCTGGGTGGATATGGTTTCTTTAATTCCTAGTTGTCAGACTTCCACTCAGCTTGATTTCTGAACCGTTCTGAGTGATATTTTTTCTATAGTTTAGTTGCAATTTTGATGTGATTGTGCAAGGAGGTGAGCCATGTTTAACTATGCCACCATCTTGACCGGAAGTCCCCAGACATCTCTTACTCTTGCCGCAGAACGCCAGCTCTTACATGCTAGCCTTTGGTTTAGAAAAAGCAGAAACAAAAGCTGATAAGAATCTGAGAAAACCACCAAACCAATTCAAATTGGTCCACTTGGCCCAACCCCGGCAAAACATAGCTACGTCAGTCAATTCATTTTTTAAAAGCAATAATTCTCATTTGTTTTCATATAGTAAATAATACTTATTCATTGCAGAAAAATGGGAAAATAGAAGCCAAAGGAAGAACATAAAAATTACCCACAATCCTAACCCTCAGGCTAGCCATTGTTGATAACTTAAGGTATATCTTGTCAAAATTTTATTTTGAACAACAAAAATAATATTTATAACATTTATTTAGTACTTACTATGTCCAGGCAGTGTGTAAACACTTTTAACTTATTTTCTTTATAATAACCCTAAAGTAATTTCTTTTATTATTATTCACATATTACAGTTGAGAAAAAGTGAACTTAGTAAGGTCAAATAGCTTGGCCAAAGACAAACACATAGTGGTTGGCTGAACCAGTAAAACACAGTCCAAGTAGCCTCTGGTCAGTGAACCTTCAGGCTCTGGCCTCTGGGTGAAAGTCCTCCGAAGAGAGAGACACTATGCCTTTCCTCATGAACTTGTTCTTCTAAAGGCATCCATCTAGCCCTCCTAAATTCACAGTGCCTGCCTCAGTTCATTCAGGCTGCTATAACAGAATACCATAAGCTGGGAGGGTTATAGATAACAGTGTTGGCCTTTGGGAGGTCCAAGATCAAGATGCCAGCAGATTCAGAGTCCGATGAGGATCAGCTACCTGGTTTATAGACGGCCACCTTCTCTCTGTGTCCTCACATGGCAGAAGGGATAAGGGTGTGCTCTGGGATAAGGGCATGCTCTGGGGTCTCTTTAATAAGGGCACTAATCCCACAGAAGGCCTCTACCTTCATGGCCTAAGCACCTCCCAAAGGCCCCATGTCCAAATACCATCACACTGGGGATTGAGCTTCATGAATTTTGGAGAGACACAAATGCTCAGTCTATAGCAGTGCCACTTTCCATGCATGTCCTAACCTACAAGTCCCTGCTGTCTATTTATGTATTTACTCATTCAGTAGATATTTACTGGACACTTACTTTGTGCCGGGGACATTCTAGGCAACCAGAATGCAGCAGAGAACACAAATGACAAAGTTCCTTTGTTCTCGTGGAGCTGTTATTTCAGTTTAGGGAAACAAACAATAAATAAACAAGCAAATAGATATTGTGTCAGATGGTGAGACAAACTAGTAGGAGGAGACAGTTGAGCCGAGTGAGGGGGGCACAAAGGGAAGGGGAAGGGAGCAGTGGTCAGACCCATGAGGTACATTCCATTACTATTTGCAGCTCCTCGTGCCTTGCATAGAAGAACCTGGCTAAGACAGATTGTTACTTTTTTTAGGGTAGTCAGGGAATATCTCACAGGTAAGGTGACATTTGAGCAGAGACCTTGAGAGAATTTGAGCAGAGACATTGAAAGTGACATTTGAGCAGAAACATTGAAAGTGACATTTGAGCAGAGACCTTGAAAGACCAGTAGGGTACTTGGGAGAAATTTTTCAGGGCTATATGTGAGGGTGAATGGTGTGTCTGAGGAAAGTCACAGAGCCGGGGTGGCTAGAACAAAAGGACCGGGGTGGACAGTGGAAGGAGATTAGGTCAGAGAGTTTTCCAGGAGGAGGATAGATCCCACTGGGCCCTTAAGGCCACTGCAAACCTGGTTGGTACCCTAAGTGAGATGCAAAGCCACTGGAAGGTTTTTAGCAGAGAAGGTGTAACTTACCTGCTAAAGGGATCACTCCAGCTATTGTCTTGAGACTATATTTGGGGGGCAAATGTTCAATTTTGAAGGTAAAACCAATAGGATTTGCTGATGGATCAGATGTGGGTATGAAAGAAATATTATATTATGGTGTATTCCAAGTTTTTCAGCTTTGAGCAACTAAAAAGAGGGGTTTATCAACAAATAAGATGGGAAAAACTACAGAAAGGTTGTGTGTGTGTATTTTTTTTGAGAGAATATTGAAATCGGGGACTTATTTGGAAGTTAAGCTTGAGATTCCTATCAGTAAAAAGCTGTATACACTCTCAGTTCAGGGAATAGTCTGGGCTTAAAATGTGAATTTGGAAGTTCTTGGAAGATAAATGGTACTAAAAACTGTGACCCTGAATGATGTTATCTTGGCAACAATGAACCACAACGGAGATCAGATCTTTGGAGTAAATCTTTGGGCCTCCAGCTGGTAGACCTTACAGAGGAGGAAATGGCAAAGGGACTGGAGGGAACAGCCAGGGATGTAAAGGAATAACCAGGACAGAGGGGTACCCAGGCCAGGTGAAGAAAGCTTTCAAGTGGAAGGGACTGGTCAGCCCTGTGAAATGCTGTTGATAGAGTATGATATGGACGGAGAATTGGCCATTGGACTTGGCAATCAGAGAGCACATCTATATTACCAGTGAAAACAAGTGAGAAAGATCATGAGATCATTGCAAAAGGGTTCTGGGTCAAGGGACACAATGAACTTACACCTTTTCATCCTTCTTGTATCAACCAAGAGCCAAGTGGTAAGAACCAAGTCCTTTGACTCTTAGGGACTCCAGAGGGTCAGTTAACCTAATTAAACTGTTCTTACTAGTCTAATTTGGCTTCTATATGATGGGCAATTTCATTACCACCCTAGAAATACTGATGATGGAATCATGACCAACTAATAGTTTTTGAAAAGTTAGTAATGACTGGTGGTGAGTTTCTCATCTACACTCTTTGGACCCAATGGCACCTGTGAAAGCTTTGGTGACTTGACGACTCTTGGAGGCGGGAATACATTTCCCAGCCTTCGACAAACTTGTAAAGCAGAATGTATTCAGGCTCTCCTGCCTCTACGCTACAGAGGATTTATCTCAACAGCAGAATACGATACAGCATGCATGTGGGCGATACCCTGCCACACCAGAATTAAATCGCCTGGATTCCATAAATAGACCTAATAACTCCCCAAACTGCAAACCAACTCTAATTGTTTCATTTTTCCTCTGACTTTTGCCAATTATAAGATCTGACCTTTTCTGTCCAAGTCCATCTTACAGATACATCAGAAGTCCCACAGACCGTTGGCCCTCTCATGACACATGTACGTGATGTGCTGAGCCCATTTTCTTGCCTCTAACCCATTCTGCAGAGTCCAGCTTGGATCTCAGGACCCATCTCCCAATCTTCCTTTGCCTTCTCCTTAATAATTCTTCCCAAAGCTCTTAAACGTCCTTGGCTAAATCAGTTCCAAATCACAGGCAATGGGGATATGACTCACTCGGCAAGGCCACCCTTGGAATTCTCTCAGTCCTTCAGTGCTAAGAGCAGGAGGCTGGCAAGCTTTGATCCGGATGGTGATGGAGGACAGTGTCCAGAGCCTGGAGGAAGTGCCAATCATAGGCATGCTTCCTCCCTCCCGACACAAGAAAAGCTGGTTCTGAAAAGAAGATAGACAGACCAGCTTTATTTCATCTGGAGCCTTATCTCCTTAATGCAAAGGCCTCTAGAAACTTTCCAGAAGCACGAAGAGCAAGAATACAGACTTTTCTCTAAAAATTCACTTTGAGTAATTAACAATTTTGTCTCTCTAAAACTCCACGTGCTTTTTCGATGAACTGGGTTGCTTTTCCACCCTCTGGAGAGGCACAGAAGGGTTCTCTTCACCCATTGCATCCACACTGCTTTAGAAGGCTCTTTCTCCATGAAGGGCAGCTCCTTTCACCCATGTTAGTATTTATTTACATACGTGAAGCCTTTGAAATGTTTGAGAGCAACTGTGAACCTCCGTCGCCCATTGGTTAAACTTCACAATCTACCTGCTCTGTAAAGAAGTTTCTCAAAGCATGGGCTGCATTCATTCATTCAACAAATATTCCAAGGCACCATTCCAGGCCAGGGAGAGTATAGCAGTGAACAAAACAGATACAAATTCTTTTTCTCATGGAGTTTGCATTCCAGTGGGACAAGACTGAAAACAAACAAAATCAATGAGTGGAACATATAATTAGTTAGATGGTGATAAGTGCTTTGGAGAAAAACAGCCAGAGAAGGAGGAGAGGGAGTGCCCTGCGTGAAGGGGGTGGAAAGAGGGTTTTCATTTGAAAAGGGGTGGTCGGGGAAGAGTTTATTGAAAAGGTGTCATTTGAGCAGAGACTAGAAGGTGTGGGGGTGTGAGTTTTGCAGAAATCTGGAAGAAGAGCCCGTCAGGAATGAGGAACTGCATAGAGCAAGTCCTGAGGCTGGAGTGTGTCTGGAATGTTCGAGGTACAACAGAAAGGCCAGTGTGGCCCGGGGACAGTGACTACACAGAGACTGGCTGGGGTGAATCAGTGAGGATCCAAATCATGCACATTCCTGCCGGCACTTGAGCTTTTCCTCTAGTGAGATGGGGGCCCACTGGAGGATTTTCAGCTGCCGGGGGGCATGTTCCAACTTGTTTTAATAGGATCACTTGGCTGCTGTATGAAAAATAGTTGATTTGGGGGTAAGAAGACGATCGGGGACACCAGTGAAGAGACTATTGCAATAATCCAAGGGACTGTTGATGAAAGCAGATCACCCATCAAAATTGCCTGGAGCTCCTGTATGAACTACAAATTCCAGAGCCAAACTTAGATCCCCTGGACTAGAAGGTGGGGAGGGCGGATCCTGGGACTCTGAAATTTTCACTGGCGCCCTCAGGTATTGCTTAGGTATGCTAGGGTTTAAAAGTCCTTCTTTTATAGTGTGCCATTATCATTATGTCTCAGCTCCAAATTCACCCTTCACTACCTGCTCTGTGAAAATAGATCTGAGCCCTTTCAATAATTTTCCTTTGCCAGTGGACACAGTGTTAAGCTTTGTCAGCAGAGAGCACTGGAGAGACATCGCAGTGGGAAAGCGGCCTTCATGCTGGGTCTGCTGTCCTGGTTCAGCTGCTCTCACGGCACAAGCAGCTTCTCCGTTGGCCCACTCTGCACCATGCAGGGTTTCTCCAGCACGCAGCTCCCGCAGAGGGGGCTGCTGCTCCAGTGCCAGGCCCCTGTGGCCTCTCAGGTAGCAGCTGGGTGGCCTCTCAAGCATCCAGCTCCTTTGGTGCATAGCACCCTGTAGCACCCACCCCAGTCAGCAGCTTCCCCCACCTAGCACCTCAGGTAATTTCATAGTTAAGATCCTTCAGAGAGAAACCATTTCCTGGACAACTTTTCCTACGCCTCAGAGAGCTTATATATATCAAGTTTCAGAGGGGTCATTTCCAGCAAGTTCCATTGAGACAGCTACTCCCCTTCCATCCAGTGGGCCACAGCCATGCTTTCTCCGGCAATGTCTGGACTTCAGCCTGGGTCGGGGGAGAGGAGAGAGCTCCCTGAGGCCGTTATCTCAGCCCTGGATGTAGTAGCCACTCCTTCTGTCTTCTGTTCCTATATCTTTAGAGGTGGATTCTCTCTTCTGATTGGACCCTGACTGATACATACAACATCACACATCTGGAAGTACCAATATACCAATATGCTCCCCACAGAGCAGATGAGCTGTTGTGTTTTCCCATTTTTCACCTGATTACAATTAGAGCCACTGTGGCCACTTGCATTAGATAGTATTACGAACGCATCTTAACTATAAACTTTTGAATCACACACACTTCCCACTACCTAGCTCTATACCTTAGGCAAGTTACTCAAACTTTCTGGAACCACAGTTTTTATCATCCGTGAAAGCTGCACTTTTGTGGGGAAGCAGAACTTACTTCCACAGGGCTGTTACAAGGATTAGGTGAAAGTATCCACTTGGTAAAGAATTATGCCTGTGGTAAAGAACTTCACCTGGCACCTGTGGATGCGATGGTGGTTGCTCTTGCTAAAAGTGCCAGACCACGCTCTCACCTGCTTGTCCCGTCGATGTGCTGGTAGGTTGTGACCGAGCAGAGCGACCAGGTGGGGTCCCAGGAGTCAGAGCTCATGCCATTTCCATGGGTGGCCGTCGTGTCTGACAGCTTTCCTCCTCGGCTTCCGTCCCTCCTCTGGTCACCCACTGCAGACCTGAGGGGTCATAAAGAGATGTCGGTACATGAGACACATGAGCCCTAGACTCCATTTATCAGACAAGTCCAGAAAGTACTGTCTGTGACAAAAAAAATATAACGTGAACCATACGTGTAACTTAAAAAGTTCTACTAGCCACATTTAAAAAAGTAAAAATACAGAGGTAAAAATAATTTTAACAATATAGTTTATTTAACCATCTATATGTAATATAGATGTTATTGTTTTAAAAAACAATCAATATTTAAAATACCATCGAAATGTCTCCCGTTCTTGTTTCTGGTCTTTGAAATCCAGTACACGGTGTCCACTGACCACACTTCTCAATTCAGGCCACCCACACCAAGCGCTCCACGGCCACCCGTGGTACGCGACCACTCTGGTAAATAGAATAGTTCTAGATTATCTAGCCTGGCCCCTCGTTTTAAGAAAAGGACACAGAAGCTCAACGAAGTTTTATGAATTGTCATTTCTAAGTCACATAGCTAGAGGGTGGCAAAATGAAGACCAGAATCCAAGGCACCTGACACCCGAGTTGAAAACCCAACCCTGCCCTTTACTGGCTGTGCAGCTAAGGGCAAAATGTCCTCACCTCTCTGAGCTTCAACTTCCTGTTCTAGAAGATGGAAATGATAATACATTCCCAAGAGTTTTGTTGAGGGTTAAATAAGGGAATGGATATAAAGTACTTAGGCCACAGCTGTCATCGGCTAAAGGGAGTAATGTTGTCATAATCAACTGCACCAACCACACTGCATTCGTCCAACCCCAGCCTCATCTAACAAGCGGCAGAGAAGGGGCGGCCTCCCAGAGTACACCACTGGCTTTGGACGTGACCTTGGTCTAACCAGCGGGAACAGTGTTTTGATGCTACAGGTGCCCAACAAGGTTTTAGCACAGCTCTTCCTCTATTTCCAAGGTAGAAAACAAAAAGGTGAGCTTCCTTTCAAGATTCTCTTTGTAAAGGAACAGTGAGGATTTTTTTTAAAGTTTCAGCAAGAACAAATTTAAGAGAATCACAAAGTGCCCCACCCACCCCAGTCCCTGGTGATTTCAAGGTTCCCGGATTCACCTAGCTTCCCCACCAGAAACCACAGTGCTTGCTCAAAGGGAGATAATGTCATTTGTTGACATTTCCCAGGTGACAACAAAGTCAAGTTCTCTTTTAAGGATCTGAGTCTTTGCATATAATTAGCAGATCAAATTACCCTCAGGGAATTGAGGCTTGGCGTTCCTCATTGTCAAGAGGAACCACAGCCTCTGAGAAGCAAGGAGACTGAGCCACCTCCATTTCTCCGGGCCTGGGCCTGTCTTCAATTAGGGATCGCAAATGGAGCAGTGAATGAAGGAGGCGCAGAAGGTCCCAGCCCCTGTAACTCCCTTCCCTTAGAAACTGACTTCGGCGGAGGAATTCTGAAAGTTAAGAACAAAACTGAGATCGACGAATAGAGCATTGTCGCTTTGAATTAACAGGTGTCTGTCACACATTCTGCCATTTGTAAAACGCTTGGCTAAAAATTATTTTTAAGTTTCAAGAAATTTATAGTCTATTTTGGGAGAAAATGTGGCAGAAATAGGTTAGCATAATGTAGATGGCAATATGATACGTGTTATACATTAGATTCATGACTGATACATGATTATTCATAGAACATAAGATTGTTAATGAAAGGAAATACGGATTTGCTGTGAAGTACTCAGGAATGAAGAGGTGGGAAATCACATCAGGCTGGAAGGATAAATAAGGTTTCAGAGAGGAGGCAGAGTCTGAAACATCTGTTGAACTTAAGTGAGAGGGAAGAAAATGACAGAGGCGAGTGTGGAGTGGTGGCTGGAGGTGAGACTCGGCGGCAGAGAAGTCAGGCCTGTCCAGGGGACCCAGGAGATGGGTGAGGCTGATGGGAAGTAGGACGTAGGAAGGAGAGGAGGGTTGTGCCCTATTCTGTCAATGGGAGGTTCTACTCTTCACTCCCTGCCGAGCCCTGCCCTGGGCCTTAGAGCAGACGGCGTGTGCAACGCTCCCAGAGGACCCCCACCGCAGCCTAACCAGGCGCCAGCCTACAGGAGTATGGTCACACGCCACAGTTTGCTGTGTATAATGCGCATTTTTTTGGCCCCAACTTTTTTGCCCAAGGATGTGCATTTTACATGCATAGTACCTGAAATACCTTGTACGTGTTATGTTTTGTCATTATTTGTTACATAAAAGTTCTTGTACCATAATATGTTCAAATATATATGCTAAAATTCCTTTATCATACTAAAAAACACAAGTATCTAGGTATGAATAAATATTAAATTTAAAAAATTAAAATGAAATATTTTTTTCCTGAAAGTTTGGACCAAAAGCGTGGGTGCCTGTTATACACGGGGGCACATTGTACGGGGCAAAATGCAGCACTTTAATTTTGTGGTAACCAGCCTTCCCACGGAGACAGTTGCGGCCAAGGACACCTTCCCTTTGCCCTTGCACTTCTGACCACCCAGCGACTTGCCCACGATGGAGTGTGCACTGCAGATTTGCCCTTGAAATACAGAATCAGTACGGGGAACAAGAAGAACACAAGTGAAAGTGGGAGAAGAGACACTGGGGGGTGGACTAAAGAAAGAACACACAGGGAATCACTGCCCCTCGGGTTCTGGGGAGTCTGAGGACTTTTAACAAATGTGATCTTGTGGCGGCTGCACTCTGAACTTGGCTTCCTGAAGAAAGCATTATGATAGGTCTGTGACACCCATGAACTTGTGAGGAAGCCTCCTCCACGAAGCTAGAGGCAGTCTCAGCTGTATTGATGTTTAATTCACCAAAGGCATGTTGTCTCAGCTTTTATTATATTGACAGCTGCTTACCCTGGCTTTGCAAAATAAATAACCAGGAGCGGATGTTAACTACCTCAGAGGAGCTGATCCCAATTCTGTCCTGCCCTTTAAATACCTTTTTTATGCCCCCTCTTTTAAATAATGTTTGTACTTTCAGATGTTTCTTTCTTTTCTTAGAGTTTTTCTTGAAAGTCCAGCACACTTCAAAAAAAAAAAAAAACCTTGAAAACAAATTTGTCCATTTAGTTGCCTTCAGCCTTAAAAATCTTCCCAGTGAATCTTCTTTAATTTCCTAACAAATTTCTTAGCTGCCCGTGAATGGTTCTGACAAAGAAAAATCAATGTAGAGTGTAGTACAAGGATTCCATCCCACGAATGTGCCCAAGTGGTTTTCCATCCTCAGACGTGGATGCGCTTGGGCCCTGAGTGCTTTTCCTCCCAGCAGACAGCTCCCAGAAGTCCCACCTGAAACTTAAGAAACTCGGATGTCAGCGGAGGGCTGTCCTTCCCTTCCTTAGGGGTTGCCTTTCCCTTTCTTTGCTGGGGAACTGAAACCAGATGAGCTGCTGACATCTGGTGGTTGCGAAGCAGAGTGTAAACTTGGTTTTAGAAGGATTTATACCCCAGATTGCAATAAACTCCCCAGCTTCCCCTACCTGGAGGCCTCCTCTTGACCTAAGAGCATTTTTGTATGCAAAGGGAAAGCAAGAATCCCAACTTAGAGGCAAGGGGAAGAATTCTCCATGGCCCTGAGGAGGGTTGCACTCACCACCACCACGAAAATCAGCCCTCCTGGAGTGATCCAGACTCTTTGGATGGGAGGCAGATTAGACTTGGTCCCAACATACCTGATGAGTCAGGGACGGTGAGTAACATTGGGGAATCCCTTTTGGCTAAAGGTGACTGTTCTGTTGCAGCTGGAAATAATTCTCCTGTGTCCAGTTGCCATTTGCCACTCTAGTATTTTGGAAAGCTCTCTACTAGGAGTTCCGTTCGTCCTCTGCCTCTCAGCACCCTGAGAGAGGCCAGGAGCTCTGCAAGTGCAGTGGAGCCCAGCTCTTTGCTCACAGAAGTTTTTTGAACTCCATCTGCAGAGAGAAACGTGGGATGTTTGCTCAGGGTGGGCCACAGGCACCCACCAATGAGGCTCTTGGAGCCAGGAAGCATGTCAGGTAACCCCCGGGAGAAAAGCTTCACAAAGTCACGGGCAGAAAGGAGACAGCCGCTACCCTGAGGTGCTATCTGATTTCTTCACAGCTCTTATCACTAAATAAATGTATTTTATTTTCCTGTCTGCTCTTGGTCTGTCGTCTCGACTGAAAGTAAACTTGAGAGCAGGAGCTTTGCCTGCTGTGTTCGCCATTTATATTCCCAACACCTGAAACATTGTTCAGTCCGTGGCAACGTTCTCAAATATTTGCTCAATCAGAAAAACGACAACACAGTCCCACTGTGCCTCCTAAAATTAGCAGGAGTCCCTACTTCGCCTTCCTTCGCTCTGGAAAACCCACAGGAGGGCTGTGTCCGGGAACAGCACGGCAGCGCCACAGTGTGTCTCTATTTGCTTCATTGGTTGACCAACTTAGAACAAAGGACAGGCCCCAGCAGGCCAGCCTGACCCCTCCAAGGGCTCCTGGAGGGTGACTGGTGTCAGGGACGAAGGTTGCCTTCCCCACAAGGCCTTGCGAATGGATGCACCAAGGAACCACAGGCAGCAATCTTTGCGGGCAAGGCTGAGTATATTGCAACATGTGTTCCTGGTGCTGAACTGCTTTCTGGGTGTGCATGAGTCTGTGGGGGCAGGGGGAAGTGTGTTGGAAAACTTTCCCTCTGTCTCCAACTACATGGTTTCCTGAGGAAATGAGAAATGGAGGTGGGGTGGGTAGGAAGGAATGAAAAAATTCCAGTAAGGAAAAAAAAATGACTTTTTTTTTCTTTGGAAAAGGGAGAGTTATTGGAAGACCTGAAATTCTAGGATCTCTGTGTATAAAAAGCACAACAGTCTTTTTTTTTTATGTTTTTTTTTAAGTGGAGTTGGAGGCACATAGAATAAGCACTTCAAAGGCAACGCTTTTAAATTGAGGGGTTTGGCGAAGCTGAGACCAGAGTGGTCAGAACCCTGGGTTCATGTCCCTGCCCACTCAGCCCAGCAGAGCAGGTACTTTCTGACATCCATTAACATAGTTTACAGTTAAATTGCTGGACCCCATGTGGACTGAAAGGGCCTCTTTATCTTTAAACAAACAGATGAGGAAGGAGGCTCCCTCCCGCCCGCCCAGCCTAGACCTGTATTTGTGAGACCACACCACGGGTTTTTCCACTCCAGTTATCAATCTTCCCTTGTTTGCGGTTCAAGGGAAGACAGAGAAGTGCTGGAGGGAAGAGACATAATCAGAAAGGTAGCTCAGCTCTATTTCAGCAGCCCTTAAGGCAAGTAACTTGGTCCGACTTTTCTTAAGAAGTCGCATGGAAATTTGGGAATTTCAAGATTCAGGTGGGGGCTCTCTGAATCTCCCCCTACCCAAAACACCACCGACGCCTTCATGGGGCTTTCTGTGACACTCGGGCTGGTCCCTGTGTGCAGGGTTCCGGCGGAGAGGGTCACGGGCAGCGGCCGTCAAAGGCAGAACAGAACGCCTTCACTAAGTGTCTTCTGCACCCAGCGACATGGGCGGTGACATGGAGAAAATCAGCCGCAGGGCAGCCGCCGTAGAATCCACAGTCTAAGAGTTACCTAATAGCCTTCTCAGGGAACATCAAATATGCTAATGACAAGGTTATGTTTGCTTCGTCTTGTTTTGTTTTTATCACAGTGCCATGTGGTGGCAAAGATCACAGGTTTTTGTGTCAGACAAAACCAGGTCGAATCCCAGTTTTTCATCCACTCGTGTGTGACCCTGAGCAAACTATGGAACTTCTCTGTGCCTTGCTTTTCTCATCTGTGAAACAGGAATGGAAATAGCTACCACATAGAGTGGTTGGGAGGATAAAATGAAGTAATATCCACGAGTTGAACACAGTACCTGCCGTGTAGCAAATTCTCGATAAGGGTCCGCTATTGGCATTGGGTGTAGAGAAACGAGAGCCACAGGCAAGACACTGTTTTATACTCATTGCATATACTACCCATTTCACCTCTTATAAATCCTCTGTGGTAAGTACTGCTGTTATTCTCCATATATATATATGTAGAGAGAGAGAGAGAGAGAGAGAGAGAGAGAGAGAGAGAGACTGGGGCAGACTTGCCCATGACCCCATAGTTAGCGAACGGTAAACACGGGCTCTCTGGCTCTGGAGACCATCCCAGAAAGGACGGTTTACCTGACGGTCTAAATAACAGACATGCCACTTGGCCTAAAACACCTGGGCGGAAGATTTCATCACCATCCCCCTCTTCTGCTGACACCAGGCCGTGAATGTCCAACATCATCTGGACTCTGTCTCCTTTGGATAGGTCCCAGGCTCAGTCTGGGTGGGTGACCTCCAGGAGCAGTTACCCTTGCCCTGGGCTCCTGGCTGAAAACAACAAGGGGGGCAGCTACATAAAGCAATACTGACTCATATTCTTGACATTCTGAGTGGCGTCCCGATCCCCAGAGCCAGCCCTGAGGTTTGCCAGGAAGCGCAGACTGGTGTCCGATCCGCTCTGCCCCCTCGCTCGCCTTGCCATTAGCCTGGCGTGTGGCCGTTGCTGGCTGGGCTTCGCTACTGTGTTCCCTCAGGGACAGACCATATCTTTAAACGCCATCCCCGAACAAAACACTCAGACTGCACAAAAGCTTATAATTTTGAATTTTTATGAAAAAAATAAAATTTGAACATTGGACAGAATCCTGCAATTACTCTATTCCGTTCATACAATGTTTTCATAAATAAAGATTAGTTCCTCAAATAGTTAAACATTGACTACCATGGACTTTTGCTAATTGCTCTAGGAGACATGATTTCAAAACAAAAAACAAAAGTCTGATTTTTACGTCTAAATCATCAAAATTAGCTGACATCTTATTATTATAGTTTTATGGTCATTAGTTTAAAGGTTATTTGCTTTTTTTTAAAGGATGTTTTAAAAACCTATTGTTAGTTCTTGGCTGGGGTCCTTAGCATCAAAAGCGTTGACTGAGATCCCTTCCTTCCAATGTCCTCAAACCACCACTCTATAGTTCCCTGACAGGAAGGAGTCACGAGCTCAAGTTCAAATACAGAACTCACTCTGAATTGTTTGGGGACACCCAAAATATCACTTAACTTATTCAACCCCAGTTTCATCCCTCATGGAGATGACAGAGCCGTCTGCACAGGTTCCTCAGTGATAGTGATGGTGATGATGATGATGATGATGATGACAACGACATCGATGGCAGTGATGGTGATGATGGTGATAGCTGTTGTTTATTTAGTCTTACAAGCCAAAGCACTATTCTAAGCCTCTGACTTATATTCACTCACAATGTCCTCATAGAAATCCTCGACCAAGGGTCTATTGTATACTCTTGGGCAAAGGACATGTGGCAGATTGCATTTCAAAAAGTAGCCTCAACCATATTCTCTATCATACAGTCCCTTCACACAGTGTCTTTTTGACACCTTTCCCATCAGTCAGTGGGGTCTATGTTCTCTCCACCCGAATCTGGGTGGGTTGAAAACTATGGCGGAAGTGATACTCCGTGATTTCCAGGACTAGGTCACAACATGCACGCGAGCTTCTGCCTGGTTCTGTTTGAGATGTGTACTCTGAACCCAGCCTCGAGGCCTCGTGGGGAGCTCAGGCCACAGGGAGCGACCCTGTGTAAATGCTGCAGCTGACAACTCTGGCAGAGCTCCCTGCCGACAACCCTGTCGACTTCCAGGTGTGTGAGTGTGAGCGTCTTTGGTGAATCTAACCCCCACCCATTGAAACATCACCAGCCTTCAAGTCTTACCAGTGGAATTTCCATTGCTCTGTGCCTTCTGTGGGCGCACTCTGAATCCCTGATCCACGGAAGTGGTGAGCATAACAAAAGAGTTGTGTTTTGGGGTGTCTACGTTTGGGTCATTTTGTTATATTGCCTTTCAGGCTCTACAGCTTCCCTTAGAGCCTGGACGAGAGCGAGACCTAGGACCTCCCTTACTCCTGTTCCTAGCACTTGTGCAGCCTGTGGCAAGAGGACAGATAGAGGCCCACATACCATATGTCTGAATTTTTAAAGGTTATAAACTGCCCTGGCTGGTGTAGCTCAGTGGATTGAGCATGGGCTGCGAACCAAAGCATCACAGGTTCGATTCCCAGTCAGGGCACATGCCTAGGTTGCAGGCCACAGCCCCCTGCAACCGCACATTGATATCTCTCTCTCTCTCTCTCTCTCTCTCTCTCTCTCTCTCTCTCTCTCTCTCTCTCTCCATCCCCTCTCTAAAAATAAATAAATAAAATCTTTTTAAAAACGTTATAAACTAAGCTAACAAACTATTAAGGGACATTTGCTCTATTGTCTTACACAGGTGAAAATACCTTTATAACAACATGCAAGGTTCTCACTCAAAACTCCTGTACCCTAAGAGCTCTGTACTGGACCATGGGCTTCTAGGAGAACTGGCCATCAGCCTATAGCCTGCCCCTTCACCCATCTCCATCCTCCCTCTCCACCCTACACTGCAACGTTTCAACGCCATCTGGAATGTCCAAGCTCCGTGACACCCTGGTCCCCTCCACCACTGCATATGTCCACTCCTCAGCTGTCCTCCAGGCCCACAGGCTGCCATACAAGCGACATGGCCCATCCTCAAGGCAGGGAGCACAAGCAGGAGGGAAGACACCACTACACACGTTTTGGGGTGTGGATATTCCCATGGAAGGTGTGGTCTGAGGATGAGACCCTCATCTTGCCCAACGGGGAAGGGCACTGCCAGAGGAGGGCCAGGGCAGGGCCCTCAGGAGCACAGATCCTGGGGCAGGGGCCTAAGGGAGAAATGCCCCCGAGCCTTCCCTTGACCCCATCTCAGAACCGAGCGGGTCGGGAAAGACGTGTCCAACCTGACATCTTCCTGCAGCAGTGTGAGCAGAGGAAAGAACGTGCACGTCTCCTGACAGGGACTGGTGGCACATGGCCGCAGACCGTCTGCCTTGTCTCATCACTCGCTCTCTCTGACCTTCCTGTTTTGAACAGATCACTCACTTCCTGCCGTGTTCTCCAGTCCAACGTGGCCATCAGTAAAGCCAGAAAACACATGTTGATTCCCATTTGCCTCCCTGTGTGTAATTATCAGTTGGTCAAAACTAAAAGGGGACAGCTCTGAAGACGGATTAGCATGCCCTCAACCTCCACCACCAAGCAACGCTCAAGAAGTCAAGAATTGTTTCCCTCTGAACTACGCATTTCAGAGCTCTGCGGAAACAGGCTAGCTCACTGACCCTTCCAGAAATTATTGCATCAGGTGGGGAATGGAAAAGAGACAAAATCAATACCTGGACTTTTAAAAACTGTTACTTCAGTCATATGCATTCTAAACTCTAAAGCATTATGATGATGAAAAACTGAGAATTGGTAACATGGAGAAAAAGGCTTATAAAGAGAAGATAGAAATGTATTTCAGGGATGCGGACAGGACTGAGGATGGAGAAGAAGACCCTCCAGCC